TGTAATTTTTCATTTTGACTTTTAAGTAGGCCTAACTAAATGTTTAAGATTATATTCTCAAGTAAGTTTCATTTTTATTACTAATATTTAAGAATTTATTTCTTGGCAGTTTGCTAAACTTCAATATTGCTATGAAAAGCATAAAATATCAAGCTATAAACCAAGAATAAGTTATATTACCGAAATATTTTATCTTTTGAGCTTTAATAATTAAATTTTTTTACTTCTTTATCATGCATATTATTAATAAAAACAATACTTAAAACTATAAATAACACTAATAATTAAAAACAGCGAACTTTAGAAAAAAATGTTCATCAATACAATTTTCTTAATGTATTTTCAGCTAGTTCTAATTTTCTTCTATTTACAAACATTGTTTATGTTGTTACTATATTTCTCTAAGTTTGTTTGACTATTTATTATGTTGTTAATAAATGTAAACAACGTAAACATGAACACAAATAAGATGTAGTCTATGTGTACACAAGCAAATAATAAATTTATTCATCATAAGAATTTTTTGATAAAAATTATATAACTGTAGTTCTAATAATTTCTACGATTTAAAAGAACTATGGTCTTTATCTTATATTTTAATTCAGTCAAATTATTTAATTTTAATTATTATAGGACCGTGATAAATTATATATTCTTTCATTCTATGAAAACTTTATTTCATTTTATTCTTGAGCTTATTCTTAAGTTGTTTCACAATTATATATTCATTCAATAAATAACCTTTTTAAATTTAATATAAATTTTCTAATTAGGCTTCTTAAACTTGTATTAATAACTCGTATAATATTTAATATATTTCTATAGGTGTAACTTTGAAATAAATTCTGATTAATCTTGGGAACAATTCCCGAAGGTTTATAGACTTTCATCTTTCATTTTTTTTGGATTAAATTAATAAGTAATTCTCTAAGAAAGATTATAATGTCTTCTTTCCTTTTTTGAAACACTTTTTTTTTGTTCTTTTCATGCTTTGTTTTGCCTTAAGACATTCTCTAGACGTCTCAACTTCCACTTCACATTTCTATGAAGACGAATTATCCTTAGCTTTCTCGGTATTCAATGTTTCCTAAGGTTTTTATGTCAAAATAATAAAAATTAAAATCGATTAATGAGATAAAAAAATAAGTAAATATTATTCTTAAGAAAATTCTCTAGTTTCTTCTGGGAATATAACCTGAAAATATTCCTTTGATATACCTTAATACTATACTTTAGTTAATTAAAGGCATGAGATGTGTTAAATAATATCATAAAAATACTTTAGATGGTCTTAAGAATATCAAGCATTTCTTGATTTCGGATCACAAATGATTATTACTTCTAGAATAATTCTACTTCATTGCTTTACTAAATTAATAAAATAAATGTAAACTTATCCTATTAAATACATATATCTACCTTTATTTCGCTATTCACAATGGGAATTAATTTAATTCTGAAACTTCGACCTAATTCTAAATCTTATTATTAGATTAATAGAATCTACAAACCATTTTACTCGAATATTAAGTCTTACTTAAACAATTTGCAAATGGACATATCTACTTTATGTTAAAATATTAAATATCATGAACTTAAAATCCTAATTTTTTAAAATATTTTTTAACAAACACGATTTAAGAATGTTTGATAAATGAATAAACATTTATTAGGTACTAAAACAAATGAAATTAAGTTCTTATTTTGCAACATTTAGAACAGATTCAAAAATTATCTCGAGGATTATTCTTTTGTTTTAGAAAATTTGATTGGAAATGACGAAAATTCTTAGCCAAAATATTGGATTTAGTTAAAATATTGTCGTGATAAAATATAATTTTAAGCACGAAAATAATAAAGTAAAAATAAATTCTCTCCATAATTTTTTAAAGAATTAATAATACGCATAACACATGTTATATTATTATAGAAAAAATGTAATAAATAAAAGATAAAAAGTATTTAATATTAAACAAATACAGTTTTTATGATAGNATTCTCTAGACGTCTCAACTTCCACTTCACATTTCTATGAAGACGAATTATCCTTAGCTTTCTCGGTATTCAATGTTTCCTAAGGTTTTTATGTCAAAATAATAAAAATAGATAAAACTAATATTTTTAAAAATTATGATTAATTAGCTTTCTCGTGGAAATCCGCCAGAAAAGAACATCGAACAAGTGTTTTTCTCTCTTGCTACCGCGAAGACACGAGTTCGAAATGATCCGAACGAAGATGACTTTGCATAAATACTTCGAGTTCAGTTTTGTTTTTCATTCTACGTATATATTCTTCAACTTTCATTTTAAATCAGGTCCATAAAACTGAACGTAAATAAATATTCGGTTACGCAGAAACTTTGAGGATAAACCTAATCTAACACAAATTTACTTTTCGAAAACTATTCTACTTTTATAAAGTATTTTGTTTATATTTAATTAATGCATTAATAAATTATACTTAAGCTTTTTAATTTGAATTATTAGTGAAATTTATTTCTCTAATAAATGATGAAATGTAGGCATCTACAGTACAGTACATAAGATTTTAAAACAAGTTATTTTTTTAAAGATAATGATGATGTAATTATCAGTTAGTTATGCAATTTTTAACGTTTATAAGTTTAAAAAGTTAAGTTACATATTAAATAAAAATTACTATGCTTGAATTTTTAACCAAATTCTATTACTATTTTATAATCCAACCTTTGCAGTTTGCTTAGGCCTAGCTATTTCATGTTTTCATAGAAAAATGTAGTATTATAACTATTTAGATATAATAAAATTTATATTTAGTTAACTCTAACTTGAAATTGACTTAATAAACTTTATAAATATTAAAAATTTTTTGATCAGTTTGAAATTTTAGTTATATTTATCTAATTGAACATGTAACAATAAACGCAGATTAATGTTGAATTTGCGTTAATTTATATTAAATATGTAAATTTATGTCGCTTTTTTTTTTGTTAAAAATTCCATTAGATAAATTTTTCTGTTATTATTCGTTGTGGTATCAATTCTTTAAGTTTTATTTAGATCTGCCATGTTTATTTTCCCAGGCCTGCATTTATTACACGCTTAACATGTTTAAATCTTTTAAAATTTTTTGTGATTAATATAAAATAAGATAGTCTTTATGATTTTTGAAGAGTTTTTGGTTGCTTCCTTGATGAATTAATCTATATTTCCCTTATTGATATATATATATTTTTTATTTTAATAGTATCACGTAATTATTACATATATATGCATATACACGTCTATTGTAAACTATATCATAGTATCAACAGTAAGTAATCTAGTACTATATCATAGGCCTATATCCAGACTCAAGTATTTAAATTTTACTTACATAAATCTAAAGAATTCGGACCAACGAATAAAGACATATTAGATGTAATTTACATCCTGCACGCACAATAATGATATGATACAAGTTTGTTACTTTTGGAAGGTATAATGTGATGTCTGTTGAATTTTTTTAATGAAAAATAAGAGGTAGACATTAAATACAGTTTGCTTTTTATCAGTTCGGTGATGGATGCCACTTTTTTTTGTTTTTGTTGTCTTCTAAGATTCTGTGGTTTTTATAAATATGGGTATTACATGAGGGACATCGGAAGAATATATTTAAGTGGTATTAAGAAGAGGACTGTAGCAAAGAGAAGAAAACCGAAAGAGAAAAAGAAACAGGTGCATTTCATAAGTATTTCAGCAAACCTTTCTCAACAAATGTTGAAGAGCAAGTGAAGTCATAACACAGTCTAAAGATATAAAATCTATAAAAAAAACTTTATTTACAGATATATCTCTAAGACTTTATATATCTTGGCTGTAAGCCTGGAAATCCGCAAAAAATTGGGCGCCGCAGTTTCTAAGGCCAGCCCTGATAACATTCGTAAGATTTTCATTTAATTCTTTATAATCATAATCAGTTCTAGATAATTAGTATCAGATGGAACCTTTTAAAATATTTTATATTAATTTAATATGAAGCTTTTGAGCGATGTCTACGTGGTACTCGTATATATGTATGGAATGATATATTTATTTCAGCCTTAAATTTTATTTAAATTAAAATATAAATGGCCTTTATTAAAATCTATTTAAAATAAATGAATACAAATTTATTTTATTTTTCCATTTAATATAAAAAAATTATGTTTTATCAAAGATAACTTTCAATCGGTTTTGCGTTATTAAAGTATTTTAAATAAACATAAACTAATTAAAAATACTGTTTCGTTTACTTTATTATTATTATTTTTTAATTTCTATTTTCATTTAAGGATTATAGACTATTTAAATCAAGAATATTTATTGTTTTTAGAAATGATTTTCCTTTATTTCAGGTGATCAAATATTCATAAATAAAAACAATCGTAAATTATAACAATTTAAACTATTTCGTAATTGATAATCCTTTAGGGCAGTGTTTTTTAATCCTTTTGAGCTAGTGCGCTAACAATTTTTGGTGGCACCCTAATGAGCCAGTGCTCTTACATTTGTAAACGAAAACTTGAAGATCTGCAGTTTTTAATCTAAATATATATATATAAATAATTAAAAAGTAGAGAAATAATTAGTTTTTTAAATTATTTTCTAAATTTTGTATCAATAAAATAGCTATATCAATAATATTGGATACATTATGAAGGCGCAATGGACTATAGTCCGATTTTCTTATTTATTATAAGAATCTATTTACTCTTACCATATCCAGTTTCTAAGAGTTTAATTAATTTATTTTAAATGAAAATAATATAAAAATCTAAATAGATTACTGTATTTTTTACTCAGAATTCTTAGAAATGAACGGACTAATGTGATATTCGATAATAAATATTTCGAACAAATATTATTGTTTAGTAATTACAACTTACAATAAGGTTACAATAAGGTATTATTAAAAATGTTTTGTTTTTATTAAATTTATTTTAGTTTAGTTTAATAAACAATAAATAACATTGTTGAATTACATTCATATTTATTTTCAGTATTAATCAAGAATTTAAGTTCATATTGAAGAAATATTGCTGTTTATGCAACCATATTTTTATTTAATTTAACATTCGTAACGTTAGCATTATGTTACGATAACTTAATATTTGAAATTTGTAAGTATTATAGCTTTAATGATCAGTAATGTTTATAAATACAATATTATAATATCCATAACAGTGTAATATACTAATATAAGGTTTGAAATTTATCTTATTTATTTATTTACTAACACTATAAGTACTTATAATAAAAATAAGTGCTTATAAAAGTTTAGATTTTTGCATTAAAGATCTTTAAAGATCCATAATATTTACAAAATCTAAATTTTTATGCAAAAAATTAAATCTAAAACATAAATATAATTTTTATTTTGTTAAACAAAGATTTAGAATAATTTTTCTTAATATATATATTTTATTTTAATAGTATCACGTAATTATTACATATATATGCATATACACGTCTATTGTAAACTATATCATAGTATCAACAGTAAGTAATCTAGTACTATATCATAGGCCTATATCCAGACTCAAGTATTTAAATTTTACTTACATAAATCTAAAGAATTCGGACCAACGAATAAAGACATATTAGATGTAATTTACATCCTGCACGCACAATAATGATATGATACAAGTTTGTTACTTTTGGAAGGTATAATGTGATGTCTGTTGAATTTTTTTAATGAAAAATAAGAGGTAGACATTAAATACAGTTTGCTTTTTATCAGTTCGGTGATGGATGCCACTTTTTTTTGTTTTTGTTGTCTTCTAAGATTCTGTGGTTTTTATAAATATGGGTATTACATGAGGGACATCGGAAGAATATATTTAAGTGGTATTAAGAAGAGGACTGTAGCAAAGAGAAGAAAACCGAAAGAGAAAAAGAAACAGGTGCATTTCATAAGTATTTCAGCAAACCTTTCTCAACAAATGTTGAAGAGCAAGTGAAGTCATAACACAGTCTAAAGATATAAAATCTATAAAAAAAACTTTATTTACAGATATATCTCTAAGACTTTATATATCTTGGCTGTAAGCCTGGAAATCCGCAAAAAATTGGGCGCCGCAGTTTCTAAGGCCAGCCCTGATAACATTCGTAAGATTTTCATTTAATTCTTTATAATCATAATCAGTTCTAGATAATTAGTATCAGATGGAACCTTTTAAAATATTTTATATTAATTTAATATGAAGCTTTTGAGCGATGTCTACGTGGTACTCGTATATATGTATGGAATGATATATTTATTTCAGTCTTAAATTTTATTTAAATTAAAATATAAATGGCCTTTATTAAAATCTATTTAAAATAAATGAATACAAATTTATTTTATTTTTCCATTTAATATAAAAAAATTATGTTTTATCAAAGATAACTTTCAATCGGTTTTGCGTTATTAAAGTATTTTAAATAAACATAAACTAATTAAAAATACTGTTTCGTTTACTTTATTATTATTATTTTTTAATTTCTATTTTTATTTAAGGATTATAGACTATTTAAATCAAGAATATTTATTGTTTTTAGAAATGATTTTCCTTTATTTCAGGTGATCAAATATTCATAAATAAAAGCAATCGTAAATTATAACAATTTAAACTATTTCGTAATTGATAATCCTTTAGGGCAGTGTTTTTTAATCCTTTTGAGCTAGTGCGCTAACAATTTTTGGTGGCACTCTAATGAGCCAGTGCTCTTACATTTGTAAACGAAAACTTGAAGATCTGCAGTTTTTAATCTAAATATATATATATAAATAATTAAAAAGTAGAGAAATAATTAGTTTTTTAAATTATTTTCTAAATTTTGTATCAATAAAATAGCTATATCAATAATATTGGATACATTATGAAGGCGCAATGGACTATAGTCCGATTTTCTTATTTATTATAAGAATCTATTTACTCTTACCATATCCAGTTTCTAAGAGTTTAANTTCATTTGTCTCAATGATAAGCCTTTCTTCCTTTAAATTAATATTGAATTACATTATAATACGAATTAAAAAAATCGAGACGCAGATGTTCAAATGCCTATTTAAATTAATTAAGTACTTGAAAAAAATAATTTTATAGCTAATTTGATCTTTAAATTACGAAATCTATTTTGTAACTTAGTAGATATCAATTAGATCATATGTAAACTTTTTTCATAGCATATGCGAGACTCGGATTAATAGCTTACATGAAAAAATATGATCATAGATATAAATACATGTATATTTAATTACATAGAAGGCGTTTTATTAAATTGTTAAAACGCAACATAATCTTTAAGAGCGCATTCAATGGCGTTGTAGGTAGAATTAATAACAAAATATCACGTTGAAAGTCGGAAAAAGCATAAAATTAAGCCACTTATAAATTATGTTAACATTAAAAATAACATTTGAAATTATACGGTTGTATGAAATTTGATTACAAAATATTCTTCAATAATTCTCCATTTAATTTCTACCACCGCAAAACTTACAGTTGGCCTAATATCATGCCGAATTACTTTTAAAATAGTTTATAATATAATGACTTTTTAAAAATAAAAGAANGTTCCTCGTATAATAAATTTCATAATTATAAAATTTCGTTTATTAATTTATTTTCTTAATAAGTGTTCGACTCGTTAAATTAATGCGTGAAATTTTATATAAAACTTTAGCATACTCCCTTCCGTAAGGAAAATTTCATTTTAGATACTTTGCGCATCTACACTCTCCCTTGACAGTGATTAAAACAAATTATTTTAACTTATCTTTATTCCATGAATTTTTAATGTTGTATTTGTCAATAAAAATGAATAATATTTTCTGGATTAATGCCTTATAAATTATAATCTTAAGTTGACTTCAATACATTGATAACGTATGATATGGAATAGTAGAATGACAATGGAAATTCTTATTTATTGTTTTATTACTTTTACATTTTGTTTCTGAAATTAAAGTTAAAATAGATTCCATATTCGTTGCAATATATATATATATATTTCAAATTACTAATAGATTAATTGTCGGTATATTCAAATTTGTTTTCTTTTTTGCATTTATAAAACAAATAAACAAATTTTAAATATAAACTGTAATAGTCTTAATTATCGTGTATTGAAACAAGAATTCGATCTAAAAATGCGTTAATACTGAATATTAAACATTAAGAAAGGTTGATGCTTGATATTTAATAATAATTTAAGTTAAACTATTTTAAAAAATAATATAAACCACTTATATATTACCCAAAAACTGTAAAACAGACAGGAAAAAATACGAAGTATGCCAAAAGTAGAATCTGAACTTACATTCTTCAGCAACATGTTCTTTTAATTTAAATAACGATGTAAATTCAGGTTTTCCTAGGTCAAGTAAGTTATATTTCTTTTTACAGATCTTAATTCTTCGTTTTGAATAGATATTTTATAATATACATACATTTACTTAAGTTTATATTTTAGAAGTTGTTTAAAATTGTTCAGAAAATCAACCATTTAAGTATTACATGTAGTGTACTGTACTGTACTGTACTGTACATATAGGCCTACTTTTATTGTACTATTCCAATCTACTGCACTGTATGTGGAAATTTGTATTCTTTAACAATCTTAAAATTATTTTTATAAACTTTATTATATTTAAATTTTTTCAGGGTCTTTCATTAATACAAAAGATCTTAAAGAATATTTCTAAACTTTTACAGCAAATTAATTGTCATTATTGTAAAAGAATTGCATTGTATTAATCACGAGGGTATTGATATATTGATAAATAAGCATTTTATTTTAGGAATTTTGACATTCTCTAGTGAGATTAAGACTTAATAATATATATATAAAATGAAATTTATATATAATAAATGTGTAATTTAAATGTATAAAGCGAATGTTTATGTATAGTGAATATATAGTTTTGTATATAATGAATGAACTTTTAAACGAAACATTTATAATAAAAATAAATAAAATAAAATTTGTTACGTAAAAATAAAATAATATTAAAAATACAACACATATAACTTGTATAATCGTTTATTTATAGATTAATTTAATGCAATAAAATTCTTTATTAACTTGGGAAACAATTCCCCTATCTAAAGATACAAATAAAATAACTTACAAAACAAAAATAGATAAGGAAATTATTTCCTTTGTCAGTAAATTATTCAATTGAATCATTTTAGATTAATCAGATTTCATTAATAAAATAATTTCAGAAAATATTATTACAAAACAAATTTCAACAAATGAATTTTGAATGAATTATCTTAGTTGATCATCTAAAAACATTCATTAATAATCAAAAATAACTTATATTAAGCTGAAAATTATTTATCTTTTCGATCAAAACTTTGATAAAAAAAATATAAAGAAATCCATAGTTCTAATTACTGACATTTTTTATAGTCTTGAAAAAATCTGAAAATAATTTGTTTTAAAGTATCTCACATTCTTTTAAATAAGGAAATAAATTAGAAACAAATATAACTANACAACCATTAAAATATTTGCATAAATTATTAAAATGATGTTTTATTCGATAATTCAGTTATTACGTTCGCCAATTGGAAATAAGATTCTTGGAAAATTTAATAATAAGTAGAAGTAGGTTTTAAATGTTAAAATTTTGGAAAAATTATAATTATAAAGGCTACTATTAATAGAAAGTGCAAAAATATTACAGTATTCTAAAACTTGCGAATTCAGAAAGTTATGACAGAAAACCCAAGAGGATTGTCAGTTTCATATAATTATATATCTTAAGATGACTCGGGAGGTATCTAATTCTGAATTTATGTCGTTCTTGATATTTTATAATTAGACTACATTCCAAGTTAATAATAATAACGAAAAGATTGGAAGACATTTTTTTAAAGAAGAAATTTATAGAATTCAATAAAATTATTTATTAATCGAAAGAAATATGACAAAAATTAAATTATACTGCAAAATCGTTAAAAAATTTATCTAGAATTTATACAAAAACTTGGAGAAAGTTCTTATTTTTCATTTATATTTTACTATAATAAACTTACATGCATTTTTTTTTATGTTTCGACTTATTAATTATTATTTATTTCTAGGCCTAAATTTTGATGATGTTTATGTATACTATGCACCAATA